TGTGTGTGTGTGTGTGTGTGTGTGAGAGAGTGAGAGTGTGTGTATCTGGTATTTATCACGTTATGGGGACCAAATGTCCCCACAAGGATAGTAAAACCAGGACATTTTTGAGGTCCCCATGAGGAAACAAGCTTATAAATCATACAGAATGAGTTTTTTGGAGAAAGTAAAAATGCAGAAAGTCTCCTGTGAGGGGTAGGTTTAGGGGTAGGGTTGGTGTAGGGCAATAGAATATACGGTCTGTACAGTATAAAAACCATTACGCCTATGGAGAGTCCCCACTTTTCACAAAAACAAACCTGTGTGAGAGTGTGTGTGTGTGTGTGTGTGTGTGTGTGTGTGAGAGAGAGAGAGAGAGAGTGTGTGTGTGTGAGAGAGAGAGAGAGAGAGAGAGTGTGTGTGTGTAAACTCTTACAGTACAGTACTATGGTGATACCATGGTTCAGAAAATGGATTCAGAGAATAATATACCACGGTATTCCTGTTCCAAGAACGCTTTCCTAATGTTATGAAAACATCATTTCTGAATGATCTCCGAACATTCAAAACATTTAAAAAACAACAACTTTTTTGTTGTGTGAACACAGAGAACATTCCATTTTAAACATTATGGGAACGTTACTTTCGAATGTTCTCTGAACGTCACATTTAACAAACATCATGAACGTTGAATGAACGATATACAGATACATTATTGAAGATCAGATCACTCTCACGGACGTTCTATTAATGTTTGTTTGTAACTTTGAGAGAACGTTCTGAGAACATCTTCAGCTAGCAGGAAACTTTCTCAGAACTTCTTGACTCAACAACTTCTCTGAATTCATCACACAATACCTGACTATTTTATATGGTTTTTTATTTATTTATATGAATTGAAAATGTTTGCATGGTCGAAATGAATCATTTGGAGGCTGGTTTGACCGATGCATCGAGAAGAAGCAGCTCAAGAGAGTGACTCATTCTGACATCAAATGTGGCAGTGGCTTGCAAACAAGTTTCTCTCCATATTTCAGGCGATGCAATGATTAGAACGGATCATAACTACAATCTATATCCACAATGGAAAGTGTATTCACTTCTCAGCATCGTGTTTTCCGAGCATGTGGTTATTGATATGCATGATGAGCTGGAGGTCACACTGGTCACGTGATCTCTGCGGGGCCCTCTCTCTCCAAGTGTTTGATTTTAAACTAGAAGATTGAAGTGAGCTTTACTGTACATAACCCCTCATGGCTTTACAGCTAAACTTAACACGCGTTATGAAATAAAAACAGGCCTTGACTTAGTGAGGAATAATATCGAGCACTTAAACACTCTCCAAACTGCAACTTTCAAAGTCTTATAGAGACATACTGTAACTTTATAAAACACTCGAATTCCACGAACCGCTCGACGCGACGCGACGCGACGCTCCTGTAATAAAGACGCGTCGCTCAGGGTGAGAAAGAATAAAGAGAGTTCACAAACACACTGAATCTCGCGTGTTCTGGATATATGAAGTGATATATGTAATAATAAAGCGTGGTTCTTACAGCACGCATAAGGCGTAGGCGCCGCTGACGCTCTCGCTGTCCCGCAGCAGGAAGCTCCCGTCCCTCCCGGCCCGAGCCAGCAGCTCCTCCGCCGCCGCGCGACTCAGATCCCGGTGATACCAGAGCGGCGGAGCGGGACACGCGCCGGCCATCGCCGTCACTCTCACACACACACACTCTCACACACACACACTCACTCTCATACACACACACACTCATACACTCTCACACACACACACTCTCACACACTCTCATACACACACACACACACACTCTCATACACACACACACTCATACACACTCACTCTCTCTCTCTCTCTCACTCACTCTCACACACACACACACTCTCATACACACACTCACTCACTCTCATACACACACACTCAGTCACAAAGGAAAATAAATAGGATGAGTTTAGCATTTCCTTAAACATTTTCCATCTGCCCACCAATTTATTTTATTTATTTGCCTACTTTCATCACATGTTTAATTATTTCTATATGTATTTAAACAAGAATTTGTATATTTATTTATTTTGCATATTTATTGTTTTTGCAGGTTTCGTCCTCCATAGATGAGAAGTGTTAAATGAGTAATAATCACTGGTTTGACCTTCTCTGGACTCTCGAAGTGAGAGTCGCTCTAAACCTCCACAGCGCCACCTGCCGGACCTCGAGAGAACCGCTGCACATGGACTCGTTTTCTTCAGCTCTTAAATAAATACATAAATACATTTATTTTTATTTTATTATTATTTTATTTTATATGTATGTATGTATTTATTTTATTTTATTTTAGTATTTTATTTATTTTATATTTATTTATTTATTT